CCAATTTCTATTGTCTCTCGTTATTGTATATTTGGAATCTAAACTTGTATTACTAGTAAATACGATACTTTTGAATGTATTCTATGTATACTGTCAGAATGTATTATGCCAAAATAAAATCTATGTATTCTATATATTCTAGCATATTCTATGTATTCTATCAAAATATATAAAGTGATAGTTAATTGCAAGTAATATGTTTTTAACCATTATTAGTTTTTGTTGTATTTGTGATAGGAATGGCTAGAAGGATGCGTTGAAGACCTAATAGGAATAATTTGAAGACTTAATAAAGTTTGATGATACTCACAATTTAAGAATTTTGTTATTTTTTAATAATTTTATTCATTTTTGTTGATATTCTTATAGAATATGTATAATTATATTAAAATACATAAGACTTTTAATCTGTAAGAATATGTATGAATTTGTATTTAAGTTCAGATGTATAATAATATATTAGAATGTTGTTATTTTTCAACCTCGGATTCAATAATTTCGTTATTCTTCAATAATATTTTAATAGAATAAAATTCTAAAAAAACATCATTCTAACAAAAAAATATTCTGACAGAATAAAATTGGTTATGTTTACAAATTACGTTATAATTAAAATTGAATTAATTGAAAAAAATCAAAATTTTAAAATTAAGAAAATTAATTATCCCTAAAAATCCGAAAATTACATTTTATAAATGAAGTTAATTGTCAAAAATACCATTTTGCTCAAATTTGTGTGCTTATATGGTACATGTTATCCCATTATAATATCATACACTCTTAAATGATGCTCATTGATCTGTGCATTGTGGCATCCAATAGATAGTAAAAACCAATATATATATATATATATATATATATATATATATATATATATATATATATATATATATATATATATATTGACATTCTTATGTTAGATGTTTAAAGAAAATAAATATTTGTTATCAACTTTTATTACAAAATAAAGCAGATGATACTTGATCATTTGTAAGTCTAATAAAGAAAATAACTTACAAATGCTCAAGTATTATCTGCTTTATTTTGTAATAAAAGTTTATAACGAATATTTATTTTCTTTAAACATCTAACATAAGAATATATATATATATATATATATATATATATATATATATATATATATATATATATATATATTAAGGGGGTTCCATTGAGAAAAAAAAAAGGTTGAGAATTGGGGAATCATTCTCAGCCAATCATTTATTTTTGGAGCAAAAAGCTCCAACGTACCGACGGAAATGGGAAACGAATGCACATGTGTTTTCCAACATAACATATTTCCTTAAACTATGCTAATCATTATCTTAATATATACAAAAACATAGCTTTTTTCGTTTTTTTTAATTTTTATAAGCTATTTTTATCAAAAAATGATTTTAAATATACCAAAATTCATGATTTTTTATTCTCTACAAATAGACATCCATATTGATATAGTTTTAAGATAAAATAAAAAAAATATTATATTTTCAGCTATCGTTATTCATAAATGAATAAATGCATCAGGTTTTATTACAGTACATATCGTTATTCACTTATGAATAAAAAGTATGATTTTTTTTTTACAATTTAAGTATCATTCATATATGAATATAGCATATAATAAACATAGTATATTCATATTTTAATATTGGATGATTCACTTGTGAATATTAACATAGTATATTCACTTGTGAATATTAGATGTATATTCACTTATGAGTATTAAATGATATTTATATGTGAATTTACATAGTATTACATGGTATATCACATGTGAATATTACAGAGTATATTCACTTGTGAATATTAGATGATATATTCACTTATGAATATTACACAGTATATTCACATATGAATATTACAAGGTATATTCACTTATGAATATTAAGGTATTTTGACAAATATATATAATTTTTATATGTTATTCATATATGAATAACATACAGACTTGCATATTTGTTTTGTGTTTTTAATAATCATATACTGATTCAGGTGAGAAAACATATTCATATGTGAATATAACGTGGTAATTTAGTTTATGCATTTCATCAAACAGTTGGAGTGCAAACAAGTTAACTATTTTAAAAATGTTAAAAACATCAAGTTATCAATTCCAAATCATCATATACTTCCGATTTCGACTTCAGATGCGACATCCTATCTCTGATCGATTTCTCAATTTGATTTTGATTTCCGAAAATCCGATTGGGAACCTGTGAGTACCGATTCTAAGTCCCTCAATGTCGACTGTGATTGCGAGTCCAGAACTCCGATTCCAATTTCATGAACAGCGAAGAAATTCCGGTTTAGTTGAAGAAATCTGGATGATTATTGAAGGTTGGAGGAAAATTTTTGATGATGAACGAACAGTTATCGAATTCTCTATAGTTACGTATTTGAGATTGAAGGTTATTACGATATTTACAAGTTTGTCACCGTGTCTTTTATGCTTAGATTAAATGAGTGGCTGAGAATGATTCCCCCATTCTCAACCTTTATTATTTTCTCAATTGAACCCACCACACAATATAATATATATATATATATATATATATATATTATATATATATATATATATATATATAATATAATATATATATATATATATATAGGCTTAGGTTATTTTGTTTTTACTAACTATTGTGTGCCAGAATGCACAGATCTAGACCACTGGATGAAAAAATCAACAGTCATGATCTGAGGGTCTATGATATTCAATAGAGTAACATGTATCATATAATCACAATTTTTTTAGCAAAAGGGTAATTTGGTCAATTAACCTATTTTAAAAAAGGAAATTTTCGGATTTTAAGGGATCATTAATTCCCTTATTTTTAAAAATCTGAATTTTTTAAATTAATTATAATTAAATTTTATATTATTTTTAATAATAACCGATTTTATTCTGCCAGAATGACAAAAGATCAACAATAAACTAGTAAATATATTTGCGGTTTTATTCTTGCAGAATATGGTTTCATTCAAGATACTTTTTATATTAAACATGCTTAAGAATTATACAATATATTATCAAGAATAACATTTTCCAAGGAATAAATTTTATTATTTTAGAATCACTATTTACATTCATCTGTAAAGAATAAGACTATAAACAATTATTACATTCATTCTAAAAAAATTATGACAAACAATGGTTTAAGGATTACATTTACTCTTAAAGATTAAAACTAAAAATGGTTAAAAAGGAAAAAAAAAACATCAAAATCTAACAAAAACACTAATCCATTCCGAAAGAATATTATTGTTAAGAAACAATTTATAAATTCTGACAGAATACATTCTGTTAGAATACACTATTGTTCTCCATGTTTCCTTCATTTTCCACATTAATGGCAACTTCTTCAAAACCTAAATCCACAAAGAAAACATAATCAACTTTCAGATATTAAAATTTAGTGCATTAATAGAATAAAACAATAAATTCTAACAGAATGCATTTATATAAATAAATTTTAACATAATACATTACAGAATGCACTTAAATCATAGTCTTTTCTTCTTATGCATAACATTCTAAAACATGTATAATGTATTCTGTTAGAATTATTAGCAACACATAGTTTATGTAATATTTATATTCTAATAAATGAACATGTGTTTGCATTCTGATATGAAAAAAAAAAATCTCCAGCTTAACCCTTTTCATGCAAATTCTGACAGAATGTCAGCTTAACCTTTTCATCAAAGACAAATTTAGAACAATCAACTATCAAAGAATAATGGAAAATCAAGAACAATCTATCATTATTTAAGTCAGATTCTAAATTACAAAATCAACTTGAATGATGGATATTTAAAATTAAAGAAGAATGAGAGCATAATGGGCATACTAGTGAAATCAGTAATCAACAAGGAAGGATAATCGAAATCAAAGAATCGAAAATCAGTGAATAAATCAAATGGAAGATCCATGTGAAGAAACGTAAATCAGTAACATTCAGAGGAAGAATTGCAAGCAATCAAGATGTAGAAGAATAGGAAATTAAATACTGCAGGGAAAAAATCGAAAACCTTTCATGGGAACGGGAAAGATCGAGACTCGCAGAATCGTATCATCGTTGGTTCGATTACACACACAATAATCGCATCATCGTTAGTGCAGATTGCATCTTTGCCCTCATCTCTTCGAGAATCGCAAGTTAGATTAGTTTACCTCTCCTCGACAACATATGAAGATGATGACG